GGCGCGCGACCTCTGCGTCGGTTTTGCACGCATTCAGGAAATCCACCATCTTCGATGACGCGACATCCTTTTGCAGCCGCTTGCCAATATCCACCGCACGAATGAGAAACTGCGCAACTTGTGTAAAGTCGCTCTCATTAAGGTTGCGTGTGGTGAGTGCGGGCGTTCCAAGCCTCACTCCGCCAGGCGTTAAGGCGCTCTTATCGCCCGAGATGGTGTTCTTGTTGACGGTGATGCGCACCTCGTCCAGTAGTTTCTCCACCTTTGACCCGGTGATGCCGTGCGGTCGCAGGTCCCACAGCAGCAGGTGGTTCTCCGTGCCGTTGCATACCAACGCGTGTCCACCATCCATGAGGCCCTTCCCCAGTACTTTGGCGTTCTGCTTCACTCGCACAATATATTCCTTGAAGGCGGGTGTGGTGACCTCTTTTAGTTGCGTTGCCACCGCAGCGATTTGGTGCATGTGGGGTCCGCCCTGCAGCATCGGGAACACCGCGTTGTTGATGCGCTCCTCCATATGTATCTCCTCTTTCCCCCGCTTCACATGCTTCCTGAAGAATATGAGGCCAGAGCGTGGCCCACGCAGCGTCTTGTGCGTCGTCGACGTCACAATGTCGGCGTAGGCGAAGGGGTTGTTGTGCTCCTGCGCCGCCACCAGTCCCGAGAAGTGCGCCATGTCCACCATGAGGAGCGCCCCCACAGCGTCGCATGTCTCGCGGTAGCGCGCATAGTCCCAGTCGAGCGGATACGCAGATCCGCCGGCGATAATAAGCTTCGGCTTGTACACCTCCGCCGTGCGCCGCAGACCGTCGTAGTCGACCACACCGGTCGGTGTGATGCTGTACGGCAGCGACTCGAAGAAAACGGAGCTCGCAGAGATGCGGCGGTGGGTGGTGTAGTAGCCGTGCGTGAGGTGTCCGCCGGCGGGGAGGTCTAGGCCCATGATGCGGTCGTGCGGCTGCAACAGTCCCGCGTACACTTCGAAGTTGGCCGGCGACCCACTGTATGGCTGCACGTTGACGCCCCACTCATCGGCGTCGAGGCGGAATGCGGCGAGGGCGCGACGGCGGCACAAGTTCTCCACCGCGTCCACCACCTCCGTGCCGCCGTAGTACCGCTTCCCCGGAAGGCCCTCCGCGTACTTGTTCGTAAGCACCGAGCCGAGGCACTCCATCACCGCGCGCGAGGTGAAGTTCTCCGAGGCGATGAGCTCCAGACCGCGGCACTGGCGGTGCAGCTCCGCCCGGAGGAGTGCGTGCATCTCCGGGTCACTCTCGCGCAGCGGCACGCAGCCCGGAAGCTGCGCCACGCAGCCGGTGAGGCGTGTGAGAGTCCGCTGCAGCATGAATATGCGTTATATCCTCGTGGGATACTCGAATGCTGCCAATTGGTCCTCTTCGCCCCCACTTCTTAGACGCCTTCAATATATTGTTTTATTGTGCTTCTGGGTCTTTTTTTTT